CACCACCACTAATACTATCACTACTACTGCCACCACTACTATTGCTACAGCTACCACCACTACCACTAATACTATCACTACTACTGCCACCACTACTATTGCTACAGCTACCACCACCACCACTAATACTATCCCTACTACTGCCACCACTACTATTGCTACAGCTACCACCACTACCACTAATACTATCACTACTACTGCCACCACTACTATTGCTACAGCTACCACCACTACCACTAATACTATCACTACTACTGCTACTACTACTATTGCTACAGCTACCACCACCACCACTAATACTATCAATACTACTGCTACTACTACTCATCACCTGCCTTGCTGACTGGCGCGGGTAATCATGCCTCTTCACAATCTGCGATCTCCTGCAGCATGTATCAGTTCATGTTGATACACCTCCATGCCATGCAACAAGACTGTCCAGAATCTTATCTCATTGTCTTCCTCTATGCATCCTTCCACAGATCTTTCCAGTGGTCACAACACGTTCAATTTTCCCTCTTCTCATAACATGGCCGAAAAATGATGACTGTCTCCTGGTGATAAGTTGTCTTCGGGCTCCCGCCTCTTTCAAAACCTACTGGTTGCTCTTTTTGGCTGTCCAAGGTATTTTAGGCATTCTTCTGTAAAACTACATCTCTGAGGCCTCAAGAAATTGCTTGGCCTGCCTACCGATTGTCCAGGACTTGCAGCCAAATGTTAAAAATGGATGTATGTAGCAAGCAAGAATTCTTTTTCTAACCTTCAATAACAGAGATATGTTGCATAAGATATTCTTTATTTTATAAAATGCAGTTTTTGCCTGTTCTATTTTGTTTCTTATCTCAGTAATGCATCTTCCATATGATGTTATCCATGTGCCGCGATACCTAAATTTCTGTACTTGTCCCAAAATAACATCATTGACTTTTATTACACATTTAGGAATAATTCTTTTCTTTGATACCATAATTACTTCTGTCTTCCCATCATTCAAACTGAGGCCCACTCTTCAACTTTCTACCATTACAGTGTCTGTAATTTCTTGTAGTTTTTTCTGACTTGTTGCTATCAAGACTGTGCCATCAGCATAACATAAATTGTTTATATTGTGCCCACCAACCACAATTCCAGGCATATCAAATAAAGATCTCACTTATATATTCACTGTATAGTGAAAATAAATAAATTGACAGTACACATCCTTGTTGTACGCCCCTCTTTATGCACTTAAATGTACCTAAACAGTTGTTAATTCTTATAGCTGCTGTTTGCTGCCAATACATATTCTTTATTATTTGTAGATCTTTTCCACGTTGTTTAATTTTTCTAACAGTTTGATGACTTCTTCATGTTTCACACAGTCAAATGCTTTTGAATAGTCTATGAAGCATAAGTACAAACCAGTCTTTATTTCTATAGCTCTTTCTGACAATGTCCTTGGGATCTATATGGCATTGTTTGTACCTTTTTCTTCTACAAATCCACATTGTTCATCACTGATTTCTGATTTAATTTTATTTCTTATTCTTCTCATAATTATTCTCAGTAACATCTTAGTTATGTTATTCATAAGACTTACTGTGCGATGGTCTTCACATTTTAAAGTGCCTGATTTCTTTGGCAGAGCTATAAATATGGATTTTAAAAGGTCGTTTGGAATGTACCCACTATTGTAAATATAATTTTAAAGTTTAGCTATTATTTCAATTCCAAAATCTCCCAGTGCTTCGGTTTCTTCCAGTATGATGTTGTCTGGCCCGTGTGCTTTTCCTTTCTTCATAAGATGCAATGCATCCTCAACTTCTGCAGTCATTATCGGTGGACCATCATTGTTGGTCTGCAATTCTACATCATACAGTTCCCCAATATACTCTGTTCATCTGTTAACTATATTACTATGTTGCCATCTTTTGATTTTAAACATCCAGTGCTATTACATATCATCTTTCCTGTTAACATATTTATCTGTTTGTACATGAAATGTGAGTGTCCCATGATTTTCCCTAACCTCTGTACACATTTGATTTAGCCAGGCTTCTTTTGCCACTTTGCATTTGTTCACTATTTCTTTTTGTATTCAAGAGTATTCTTCTTTATCATTCTTTTTCTTTCTTCTTTCATCCATCAACTGCAGAATTTCCGTTGACATTTATTTCTTTTTTTTTTAAATAGTTGGTGGGATTGTCGCTTTTGATGTCTGCTAAATTGACTCACGCAACGTATCCCATTGTTCATCAATAGTCTGTATAATTTCCATTACATTATCCCGTTTTTTTACAGTGACATTGGATTGTTCCTTAATTTCTGTATCCATTCTAAGTATTCCTAAATTTAACTTGATGTTCTGTGGTGTTTTCTAAGTATTCTTTAACTGTATTCTAATCTTTTCTACAACTGGAACATGGTCACTAAAGCAGTTGCTCCTAGTCTAGTCTTTGATCCAACTAAGCTGCTCTGGAATTTTCTTGAAATCAAAATATAATCAGTCTGATTGCGGACATTATCGCCCGGACTTTTCAAAGTCCACAATGTTCGAGTATGGTGTCTAAATCAGGTTTTACCTATTATCATGCTGTGCTACTCAGCCCATGCTTTGAATCTGTCACCTCTCACATTCTTTTCTCCTAGGCCATAGCCACCCGTTATTCTGTACACTTTTTCACTTCCTATTTTCATGTTGAAATCTTCAAGCACCATTGTTACTTCACAGTTTTTGCATTGATCAACAGCTATGTCTAACTCGTCATAAAATGTGTCAACATCTTCCTCTGAACACTCTGCTGTTGGGGCATAAATCTGTGCTAGTTGATGTCAAACGGTCTGCCATGAAGTTTTACTAATAGTACTCTATCCGATATTGTCCTAAATCCTTTTACAGTTTTTGAGCTCTTTGGATCCAAAATAATACCAACTCCCTTATTATATTCCTTTCCACCAGAGTAAATAATTCTATGCTGATCTAAATACTTTTCCCCTGCTCCTGACCATCGCATTTCACTAATTCCTAAAATGTTGATGTTCATTCTCTTTATTTCCATCTTGATGTTATCCAACTTTCTGTTTTGAACAAATGTCCCGCTACTACCAGTATTATTACTGCTACTGCCAGTGCCAATTATACTCCTGCTAATACCACGGCTAATACTACCATCACCAATGAATGCTACCAATGCTACTACTACCACCACTACTACTGCAGCTGCTATTACCACCACTACTGCTGCTACTATTCCCAATACTACTGCATATACCACCACTACTAATACTGCTAACACCAACACCACCTCAACTACTGCTACCATAGAATGTTAGAAAAGTGCTGAATGAACCAGCACACAGTTTATATTATCACTACCCAGTAGTTAATGCTATGTGATAATAAAATAAGATGATAACCTCCAGTTCTGATTCTATGACATGCCAAGAGAAATGTCATAGCTTCCACTGACATGCCACTTTGTATATGCTGAGTCGGCAGAGCAAAACCTTGGCCTCAAACTTCAGTCACACTGTGTCATGTTGGATAAGTAGATCTTCCCATGTGGCTTCTGGAGCCCCGTCTTTGGAGATAATGGGGTCTTGGGTGGTGGACTTAGTGCACACTAACAAGCATGTTATAAATGATGATTAACAGGGGTTTGCTAATATTTGATGTGTTGGGCTGAAAGGGGCAGGTCAGGCAGCCTAGCAGCTGTGAACCAAAATCACATTGCTAGGCTGCCCAGTTAAGGGCAAACACAGGAGACAAAGAAGAAGAAGAAGGCTGGCTTGAGGAGAAGATTATATGTGAATATTTTTCCTGGTCCTGGCTCTACTAAATTTGGGAAGGGGATGGGGATTGGGGTCCATTGATTTTTCTTTAAGGTTTTCAGAAAGTACATAAATATGACCATTAATTCATTTGTGACAGAGAGGGGGATCATGCAGTCACTTTGCTGCTGGTACCATCACAGTTAGAACCCTGCACTTTCTGCTGAGAAAGAAGATAAAGCACTTCTGGGAATATCCTGAATACAGTGATGCTGGTTCTTATCTTAACCTAACTCATCCTATTATCATCTTCCAGTGTTGCTGTCAAGTGACATGTAGAGGAATTGTTATAGTCCAGCACTGGATGGGCTATTGTCATTTGGTGTGAATGTAAAGCATCTTTAATCTGTCATTTTCTTGTATACGTTTTTGTTGTGATATTAGATTTTCTTACATGTGGTGCCTTTGATGGTAACTGGTAATTGAAGAAAGGTGCCTGTTTCTTCATTCTAATAAGAAGCCCCGACCATTTGATTACCTGCTTTTTCCGTGTGTGGTTCCTATGCCCTATTGTGGAGGAGGGGGATGGGGGGGAATTAAGGTAGGTAGGTAGGTAGGTAGGTAGGTAGGTAGTTGTACCCCACCAGGACATTACACAAGCAATAAATACCCGGTGACATAAAGTGCCACCATGCGGATAAGGATCACTCGTGGAGAAAGTCCCAGAAACCCCTTCAAGCCGTTAGACCATATTTATGGCTAGGCCATATTTATGGCCTGGCTATATTCAGGGCCCCCGGTGAAATCCAGGGTGGGGCTTGAAAAAAAAAAAAAATTTGCATCCTACGAGGGGGCGACTATAAGCTTGGTGTGGGGGAAGGGGGGGGGGGGGGGATTGATAGTCCCACTGCCTTAAATTGGTGACTGATAATGGTTTTGCTGAAATTAGATGTGTTCGGCTAAAAGGCGCAACTGTAGCAGTTAAGCTGCAAACTACAACACCATGCTAACCACTTTTTCTAATTGGGAATGCAGAAGAAGAAGATCTGCTTCTCAGTGTTTTTGGCACAGTGTGTTGTTTCTCACTTTGTCTCGGTTGTTTCTTTACTTTGCTGTTTATATCCTTAGCTGTTTATGCACTTGGCCATTTGTGTACATAGCTATCTATGTATTTAGCTCATGATGTAATTCATGTACATAGCAGTTTATATGCTTAGTTGTTTATGTACTGAGCTGTTTGCTTCTTTCAGGTGAAATATGTCAAAGATGTCTTCCCCCAAAATGACGGAAACATCCTGGTCATGTGCATTTCCATCACATCCGGGATTTCTCGTATCGTCTGCGGGAAAATTGCTGATTATAAATGGTTCAACAGGATACGAACACAGCAGGTGGCATTTGTTCTTTTGGGAGTTTCTACGTTGTGCATCCCATTTTCGGACAGTTTTGCCGGCCTTATTGTCCTGACCCTGATCATGGGTATGTGTGATGGGATCTTTATCTGCCTCTTGGGACCCATTGCTTTTGATATTGTTGGAGAACGTGGTGCTTCACAGGCTTTGGGCTTTCTGTTTGGCATATTTTCTGTTCCTATGACTGTAGGACCGCCTGTTGCAGGTAAACTTTGTTATTTTTGAGTAGTTTTTTCATGTTCATAATGTATGATTTTGAAATTTTTATTTTTGTGGCCTGCTGCAGGAAAACATCATGATTTTCAAAAATAGGGTGGTCCATATTGTTGCAACATATTTCAAATGCATATGTTGAGCACATAGGAAGCAACATTTATTACGAAATATATGAAAAACACTACAAAAGGAATGGAGTTTTGTACTGTGTTCAGCGTTTGAATATTACATGAGATGGACACCACCTTGATGAGAACATTGTTTGGCTTTAACAGTCACGTTCAGCATAGTTTTGCGCATGGTTTCTGTTGGGATGGCCACTGTCTCCCTTCGGATGTTGTCTTTCAGTTCATTGATGGCAGTGGGCGGTGAAATAAACGTGTAACAGTAACTCTCATCCTCACACTTACTATTAAGCTATATGTAAAACAGGCATGACAGTTCAGTAGTGTTAAAATAAATGTCGCCTCATCAGTATGGCCCCCCCTGTTCTTTTAAAATGTTATGAATAGTGTATTCTGTGGGAGCAACAGTTGTGTAGTGGCTAGTTTCAGGAAACTAACCCTTTTCACATCATTGAAACTTCTGGTAAATGGTGCTAGGCTAGCATTTGTATATACCAATCAGCACGTGATAGGGGATGTTGTCAACATCCTGCGAGCTGCCTTTATTTCCCAAGACATATCCTGGTACCCATTTTAGGCTAGGTTTCAGTGTATAAGTGAATAAAGATATTAATATTTACTTATTCTCCTCCTACAGGTTTCCTGTACGATCATCTAGGAACTTACAATATTGCCTTTCATATCGCTGGCTGTCCTCCTATCTTAGGAGCCTTGCTGATGTTCTTCATACCTAGAGCAGCCCCTGTGAGTATGGTCTGATTTTTATAAGTGTGTTCTAAGAACAGTAGACAAACAGTTTTCTGTCAATGTGTTCTCAAAACATAAAATAAATCATCATCAACATTTAACAGGTCCATTGCAGAAACTTAGTCTCATCACGGCACATGTTGCTTCCTTTTATCAAATATGTTACTGTAGCATGCACCCAATGAGATAAAGCAAAATATTCCAGGCAATAATTATGCAATCTTGTGTGTGTTTCTTCTTCTTTTTTTTTTTTAGTATCTTCTTTTTTTTAAAAAATATGTTTCTATCAGAATATTATCCGAACAGTAGACATTTATGGACATATATGTTTCTGTCAGTGTGTTCTCAGAACAGTAGACATATATAGTTATGTCAGTGTTTTCAGAACTGTAGACACATATAATTCTATCAGTGTATTCTTAGAACTGTAGACATGTATATTTCTTTCAGCATGTTTTCAGATCTGTAGACAAATATATTTCTCTCAGTGTGTTCTCAGAACTGTAGGTAGATGTGCAGTATACAGATTAATTAAACACAATTAGCTTAACAAGCTGTCATGAAAAAACCCACTGTACCTCACCTACAAAAATCTGAACACCGCTGGTAATGATATACTGAATATAGTTACATTAAAACAAACAACTGAACAAAACTAGAAGAAATCATGTGAGAATTGGAGATTAGAAAATCTGTTGGTACAATACTCATTGATAAAGTTTCATTGAGAAACAGAAAATGATTTGACAGACTGATGAGAATGAATCCGACAGTGCCATCAGTTAGAGCTTACAGCATGAGAATGGAAATAGACGATGCAGAGGGAGACCTAGAAAATACGGATTGAAGGATTCACTGACAGTCTTAGACTTCACAACATCATAACACACCAAGAACAAAGCACCTCTTAGCTCAGCCACTTATCTTCTTTCTGTTAAACTGTGACGTCAAGCGACAAAAAAGCTGATATCGGGACAAAATAAGATGAAAAGAAAGTCACATAATAAAACTTGGCTTGACACTGGACTCCTATGTGGGTTAAGAGGGCCTGTTGTGGGGGAAACCAAAATAAACTCACTGCCCCCTAATTAGCATTTCATAGAAGTCAACTAGTTAGGGGTATTTCTTTCTGAGTTAGAGTGCATTTGCCTGAGAGGCGAGGAGCCAGCAGTCTGCACATAAATCGGCTAGATAAGTTAGATCTCACGTTCAGGAACTAAAGTCCAGAAATGGACATACAACCAGAACTTTCTGCCAAAGAAGGAGGAGACATTGGACACCAGATGTAATTAATGCTAGTGAATGTAAACACCCCTATGTCATAAAGTCATCAGGGGGTAGCAAACATTACTAACCTTGTTAATGCAAGAGGAACACCATCATTAAATCATTTCTCCCACATGACCTAGTCTCCTTTTGCAGTGTTCCTGATTATTTACGGGCAAATCTGCATAAAGCATGTAACTGTGACAATAATCTGGTCAGTTTCACGCCATCCATATTTTCTCAGTCATTTTCTCATACACATGGCTTCTAAATTGCTGTTCAGGCTTCAGAGAGGAGGAATTTCCTACCTGTGCGCAGGTCTTGCTAGTCACACCACTGTCGTGGGCTGTGATTCCCATGTGCCTCCATCAAGCACAGTGTTACTCAACCTTCCATTTATTTATGTTGTGCATCTCCCAACCATACAATTAGTTTCATTGCTACTTCAAAACTTCAATGAATATGTGTTTTGCTATGATCTTTGGCAACCCATGTAAAAGGGTCGTTGGACCCACAGGTTGAGAACCGCTGATCCAGCACAACAAACTGTTATCTTAAAAGACAGAAAGATGCCACTGGTAGCCACTTTTGATTGGGTCATCTCGGGATACATAGGTGAATTGCTAGCATCATGACGGCTAATAGACTGCATTGGTTGGGAAATATAGAGGAGAGAATGCAGATAGGAGAAAAACAAAACTGTTAACACAAAAATCTAAATGTGAATAGACCATAAGGCAGACCAAGAAGACATTCGAGAGATCATATACAGGCAGACCTACAAACTTTTGTAAATTAATGAAGGCTATCTACACATAGATCTTTATTTGCAGCAGTGAAGCTCGAGGGCTCAAAATGCTTAAAAAAGATTTCAAAAAGGATTCAGTATTATGATCTTTGGCAGAACAGGCAAGTGAGGATTATAGTGGTAGACCTGAAATAACATTAACATTTAAGCAAATAATAAATGCTTGGCTACAGCACACTCACTGTTATCTTTGGAAATATTACTGCATTGGGCCTTATATTCTTCCACAGTGTGACTCTCGTACCACTGTCCAAAAACCAGAAGAACTGTCATTTATAAAAAAAAAAAAACCACCATCTACCATAAAGATTTAACCCTAGTAGTATCGTGAAATTTTAAAATGCATTTACTAGCCACAGTCAAACAAGAAAAGAGGAAAGATCACTCTAAAAAGTAAGTGTCTGTGATATAAGAGTGACACTTTGTGTTATTAATTGCAGAATGTACCAGCTGTAACCACTACTGAAGAGTTTGCTGCAGTTTCTCTTCCAGAAATCTATCACAGTAATACAAGGCTGGGTGAGTATTCTCAGCTACTCAGTTCTTGCATCCTTTTTATTTTAGTGGTTCATCTTTTTCTTCTGGTTGCTATGAAGTGATCCAGTCCAGCATGTAGTTGTCAGTTCCTTAGTATATGTTTACATTTTTTTCAGTTTCAGACAAATATAAGTTTCTGGTTAAAAAGCACGGGCATGGAAGTCAAATTAATCCATTTTACATTTATTTGTATGGGGAAAATGATTTTAGTTTTCTTGAAATTCGGTTTCCAGACAAACTAATAAGTAGAAATTAAGTTCCAGAACTGAGGTTCTCCTGTATTAGTTGAACCCATTCTTTCTAAGAAATTGTAACTATAACTAATAAATGTTTAGATCCAATGGAAAGAGTGAAATCACATTTAAATGAGAAGAGATACAGTTACAATTGGTAAGGGGTGGGTTGGTGTAACAGCTGGATGGGGTGGAGATCTTTCAAAAAGTGTGGTATAAATGAAAACAAACAAATGCCTCATGACTTACTTGGTGATTCATGTTCTTCTTTTCCTCCAATTTCCTCATCAAAGTGGGGTTGGGGGGGGGGGGGGGGGGGGGTTGGAAGGATCTACTGTGTTCTCCTTCTAATATGTTGTAAATGCTGATCTTCATTTCTTTAAGGCTGTTCTTGATGTCATCGTTCCATGTTTTGTGTGGTCTTCCTCTTATTCTTTGTTCAGTTTACTTCTTCACTGTGGCTGTATGTGGCAGTTAATATCAGAGTGTTCTCTTTTGATGGCCAAACCATCTCATCTGTTGCTCTTTAATTAATTTTACTTGATCTGAATGAGTTAAACTTTATCTGTAGTATTGTCAACTGTCTTCTTGAAACCATATTTCTGCTGCCTCAGATGTCTTCATGATAGTATTACTCATTGTCTAGTATTTGCACATAATCAGAACAGATGTCACAAAGCTTTTTTGTCAGAGTTATGGGTTGAGAACCGACATCATAGCACCTAGGACATTCTCACAAACTCTCCATCCCCATCTTCAGCAGCAAGCGCAGAGTTCCAGCCCTGATGGTACCAATAACCTCTGTATGTCCATCTCTCTCCTACCGTGGGTGTTGAGTGTCAGCCAGTCACGTCTGCCTACACCATTCTTTTCAGATCATGATGATCTGTTTGTGCCTCCACACTGTTTACTCACAGCCAAAGGACCCTTACAGCATTTAGATTGTCATGCATTAATGGGCCACCAGGTGGTACAGAACTAGCCAGTCTATCTGCCTGTTTATTTCTCAACACACTTTTCAGTAAGTTGATCAGTGTGTGTCATACTTCTATAATGCCGAGGGTCTTTCTGGTGAAGTGATAAAGCCGTTTGCCTCGCTCTCTGAAAGTCGTGGGTTCATTTTACAGCGGTGTCGTTCAGTTTATGACTACACTTTTTATGGAGATCCCTGGGGATTCATTGCCGGAGCTACGGAGTTCGCGCTTTGTGTGATGCTCCCGGCAGGTGGCTAGCAATTCTGTGGAGGGAGACCAAGCCATTTAGGATAAACCTGGTGCAATAAAGTAAATCCTCTGGACTTTATCCTTTAACAAGAAAGATTTAGGAGATGCGAGTGTATGCAAAATATAATGAACACATTGCAAGGGGCAGGCTACACGAAATATGTTACATTACAAAAACAACCTTAAAAAATGATAGTCCAATTGCCCCCTTCACTTCCTCTCTCCCCCCCCCCCCCCCTTCCCTCCCCTCACACACAAAAACCAGCAGTGGGTACAGGTATTATTTGCAGCCAGCCTCAGTTGTTTAAATGGCACTAATATAAAACACTACACTGACATGAGTTAATTCTTAACTCTTTTACTACTTCTGGATGATTTCACAGCTAAACCCCAATCTGGCACAATAACCAGAGCATCAGTTTGTCGCTGTCAAAGACATGGCATAGACTGTGATGCATTGTAACAATTTTAGCCTAGTGTCTTTAACACACACACAGACTAAATGTAAAACATAGAATACACATTGTGTTGTGGTGATACAAGTGTGTAATAGCCAATAACACACAGTGCACTGGTCGAGACAGAAACAGCTTATGAATTTGGGATGTTTAACTTGATTGAAACAATTCATTGTTTTTTTTCTCTTCGTACAGAAGTCAATGTCAGTCCACCACCAAAAGTCAATAGTACAGTCAGCCCCCAAGTTATCACCATTGATGATGTCAGCAGCCTGGTGCTGATTAATGAAAACACCAACAACAACCAGGCAGCGACAAGTGACATTGATGGAAATACTTCAAACAACAACCGCGAGGCAAATAATGAGATGGATGGCAGGGAAGAAGAAGTTACTAACAAGGACTTGGACCATGAGGCGGATGAAACTGAAACACTCTTGACAACAAAGCCAGCCAGTGATTTAGAAAATGTACAAGTGTGATAAATTGTTTCCTAAACTAAGTGTACATATAACTGTGTCATCTTTTTTAAAGTTAGCATATTGTTAAGTTACCATATCATCATCATCATGTGCCTTGCTAGATAGCCCAGGCGATCACATCTCTCCACAGAGCTTGGTCCTTAATGTTCTGAATCAATTCTATAGATCAGTGGTTTGCATGTAGCCAAGACCTGAAAACCCCTCTTATTTTTAAGGTCTGCAACAGACCTCATACTTATTTAATAGTCATATTTAGAGTAAAAAAAAAGGAGTTAAAGTTTACTCTTCTTCTTCTGCCTCTTCTGAAGCATAGGCCTTCAACCAACTCACACCAGGTTGTTCTATCCTTCGCTGTTGCATGCAGCTTTCCCCATATCCTCCCCATCTTGTTACACTTTCACTGTGGGGAGAACTTTTCTCTGTATGTCCTGAGAATAAAATAGTTTTCCCTGAATTTAGAAAACTGTTCCCTGCCCTGGTCAATCCTTTTATTGTAAGAGCCTCCCATCAACTTGGCAGTTGGGTTTTTCTTGTTTCTTGTTTTGACTTTTCCATGGTTGGTTAGCTTTTGGTGTTATTGTTTTTACAAGATGAGTAGCCAAACCCCAAGCCCAGCCCTGCTCTTAGTCTTCCCTTACGACATGCCTGGTTGGGGACAGTGTTACAAGTCTTTGCTTCTCGTGAGGGCGCCTGTGACACATGACAGAATGTTTATTAGAATTTTAAAAAGAATTGCGTTCTAATGTTGGGGTTTTTATTTTTGTAAATGAATGAATGAAGGAATGAATGAATCAAGAATATTCATCCCCACACTCAAGACATTCCCATACATGCTCCATCTCGTTCTTCAGTAACCGACGATGATTCGATATGCTAATAGAACCAGTTGCAACCTGATTAAAAGTCCTCCTGTGTTTTCCTAACAGTGTTGAATATCTTCCATACCCCCTACTGACCCCCTTCCTTGCTGAATTAGTCTGTCAATGTATGCATATTTATTCTGTTCTGTTGCACTGTCCACTTGATCTCAGAGCACCTTCACCACTTCTGCTTTATCATAATGTAGCTCGCCACCCATAGGAGCAGCAGCAACCAATCTATCAACTTGCTCATTACCCTGCACACCCGAAAGACTGCTATGGATGAAATTCCTCAGTTTCAACATCTTAGACCCATCTATATATTCTAGCCTTTAAAAGCTACCAGCTATATATTCCAGCCTTCTAAAGTTACAGTCTGTTTATTATAGCATTTTAAAATAACTATCTATATATTCTAGCCTTCTAAAATTACCATTTATATATTCTAGCCATATTTAGCTACCGCAGTATAGATGATCAACTCACCGTGTCTGTGTATAGGGTTGAGTACCCTGCCAGTAGTAAAAGTATCTTGCTTTGCACTATTGAATGGTCTTGGAGCAAACCATTGAGCTGAAGAAACACTAGCACCTTCATTGTTATATATAAGAGATAGCATTCCATTTATTGGGTTATCTGTTAATACTTTTTTCATAACATAAAATATTTCATTAACATGGCTTCTTACTACTAATGCAAATTATTTTGCTGGGGCATTAATTGGCAGCTTCCTATTTTGTCTTTTTAATTTTAGTAGAAAAAAGGCATTTCTTTCTTTCTTGGTAATCTTGGTAATCTTAGTTTCAGCTTCATAGCAAACGAGTCACCCCATAGTTGCTCCGCTCCTCTGCCAATGAAAAACACATAGAATGTTCGTTGCAGTCCCTAGTAGAAAGATTGACAGACTGCTGTCTCAGCAAATGCACTAGCATACACATGCGTTAAAAGCATATGGTAGCCATCAGAAGTGCTAACACAAACAGTTTGACAACAGAAATGCAGTTCATCATCGACGGTAGCAGAAGTCCCCAACAGATCAGCAGTTGCGCACGCGATCAATATCAATCACATAAGGGCACCACCAATGTTGTGGCGACAGGCCACGTGCAATTTTCTGAATCTAGTTTACAACACCATGTTGGTCACAGTCAAAAAACATTCCAAATGAAATCCGCAGCTCACAGGGTCACGCCATGCACTCAACTCAGTAGCTGGCATGACAAAACTGTATCCTTTCTTTATCTGTTTTGGACATTTTATTTACAATTCAGTGTGAGGTGTGAAAAGAAAGGTTAAAAACAAATACAAATAATGACATTTAAAAAATACAACTTCACTTACTTGTCTGAATACTGATTGCCTTAGAACTAACATTTTTTGCCACATAGAGGTTGGATTACTGGTAGAATGAATGTAACTGTAAAGTTATGCACTGGCATTGGTTATAACTGTAAAGTTATACTTTATGTTCAGATTATCTGAATAAAACATTATTTAAATCAAAAAATGATAATAAACCAATCCTAGAATCAAACACGGATCCCACGCTTTCAGTCATTCTATCATGAAATAATTGAAGTAGAATAAAAAATTACTAATTGAACAGTTTTACTAGACTTGTTTATATGGACATGTTTTTTTCCTTAATGATGAAATCTGTGTGATTAAGTTTTCACTCTTAAATATAATGTGTCTGCTTGAAGAGGAGGTTATCTGAAGAAAAAAAAAAATTTAGTCAAAGACGAATAATGAATCAACACAGAACTGGTGTCCTCAACCACCAAATATCTGAAGGATATTTTTTAATAACATGGTGGCCTCTAAGGTCACCACTAGTCTCCAACAGCTTGTCTTGCAATGAAGTTCCCTTGGGTCAGATATCCAACTTCTGTCATGAGAGTAGAGAGGTTAGTCCTTCGGTACATACGTAGGGGTCTGTACGTCAGTTCCTCAGTCACAGATGACAGACTCTTTTATGCCCGTTCTGTAAAGACTGAATTGATGTCAGTTAATAAATGACATCACAGCACTTGGAAAATTCCCCACAAGTGCTCTGTCCCCATTTTCAGCAACCAGCGTAGAGTTCCAATTCCAGTTGATATCACCAGCAGTCTGATTGCTTAGGTGAACTCTGAAACCAGAGTGTCCTGTTTGAAGTGAACCTAAA